TCAGCTGGCTGTCTACCAACACCCCCAGGTCCTTTTTGGCCAGGCAGCTTTCCAGCCACTCTTCCCCAAGCCTGTAGTGTTGCATGGGGTTGTTGTGACTGAAGTGCAGGACCTGGCACTTGGCCTTGTTGAACCTCGTCCAGTTGGCGTTGGCCCATCGATCCAGCCTGTCCAGGTCCCTCTGCAGGGCCTTCCAACCCTCGAGCAGATTGACACTCCCACCCAATTTGGTGTCATCTGCAAACTTACTGAGCAGATAATTATTATCTGCTCCAAACCCATTCTTCTAACTCCAATCTAAAGCAGATTTGCAATTTTAATAAAATCTAAGAGAAATAAGAGTGCACTCTGCAACATCCTCATGCAGTGTCTCCAGCAGAATCCAGTACAACCACCACTGTGCTACACACCATCAAGTATTAGTCACACCTGGGCTCTACATTGTGGTTTACCATTCATGGTCAGCTGAAGATCCAGATGCAAAGAGTGCTGTATAGTCAAGCCATCTTTAAAGAGCTATTTCCTTGGGGCAGTTATCTGAAATTATTTGTTGGCAAGACTGTGTCAGGATCCCCACTCTTTGACAACTGCCTTGACTTTAGGGAGCAAGGAGACACATTTTCAAGCATGAAGGTTGCTAATACTAACAGTTCATAAAGGAGGAGGAAGATACTTGCAGGTTCATGTTTTAGCCTTAAGGTAATTGCTAGTCAGCTGGTCTGGTTTTGCTCCGCTGTGGCTTAATCAGCACTTGAAGAAGGGAACGAATCCTTAGGACTTTCTCTTGGTCCTTTTTCAGATCCCTGCTACAGCCATTCACAAAGGTCAGAAATCAACCCTGTTTGGTCCAACATTTCCAAGTATTGCTCTGCGTATACCAGAATTAGTGCGAATACCTTCCATATTCTTATTCATGATTATTAAACTGGAGTATGATTTTTCATGATGTTGACTCATTGGAATCGTATCATTCTCCTGAGACAGATCATTCAGTTCAATGAGACCAACACAGATACAGCACCTCCCTAAGAGTCTAATCCTGAGAGAACTGTTTTTATGTTAGGGGATGGATGTTTTAAATAAACAGCCAGGACAAGAAGGAAAACAGCATTATCTTCCTATTTGTCCATTATAGAGTTTTCGGGGGGGGTTCTTTTAATTAAATCTACCTAAGTAAAATTTGTCTCTTATGGATGATACTGCTAATCTTTACGTGTCTTCTGTTGCCTCAAAGCTGCCATGGTTATATGACCTATTTTTCTTCTCCCCCCGTATGAAGCAGTTGGCACGGGCTGGTTCATCATGGTGTGAAACTCTCATTTAGTAGCAGGATTTTCTAAGCAGCCCTATTCTTCTTTATATAATTTCTTCTCTTACCTCAGTTCTTGTAGTCTTCACACAAACTCTGCTTATATTAATTTTTTTAAATTCAGCTCTCTGTATTAAACAACCTCCTTTCTTGACTGTTTTTTGAAATCTCAGTGGTATCTCATACAGAGAGTTTCATTTGTATTTCCCCATATCCACTGGTGCAATGCCTGCTAAAATTAACTTCAGGAATTGTATTAATTGGAATTTGGACTGTCAAATAGAGTGATTCTTAAAGCTTCCTTATCCCAATTTTCCTTTGCACTCGTTGTTTGTTATGGCATCGTTTGTGAAGGTCATCCTAACCTTATGGGAGAACCAGACAATCCTAATTATATTATTTTTTATTTCTTTGCTAAGTTGAACAGCTCCCCATAATGTTATAAGAACCTTTCTCCCAGAAAGCTGCCCTTAGTCTTCAAGAACAGAAATAGTATATTTTCAACCAAATTGGTATTTTATGATTTTAAATTATGCTGGACTGACATCTCTAGAGGCTGGGGTCTGTTGTTTACACAGAGAATAAGGACATCAGAGAGACAAAAACAGCAGAGGCTTCCCATGGCAACTTGCCTTGAAGCCGTCTTTGTATGACCACCTTGAAGGGTGACAGAGCGTTTCAGTTTCTGTGGTTCATTTGATCCTGTGGCTTTCTGATAAGGTTTCTAATGAACGAATACAACTGTAACGTTGTTTTCTTATACATAACACCACTCCAGTATATCTGGTAGGCAGGTCACTGAGCACCCGTCATGAGGCAATGACTTCCAGTTGGTTACTGTACTTCTAAATGTCAAATTTTATCTTTAAAAACCTCCACTGTGTAAAGGTCTAGCACAGAATTAAGTTCTCTCTCTGCAGATCATCACAGGAACTCAGTTGTTATGCTCTTACCAGGTGCCTTAGCTTTCTGTAGTCCATTTCAGCTCCCACCGAACAAATTCCTTCCTACTAGGTCTCAGCTGATTTCAGTCATATCTGGATTTATCAGTGACCCTTTGCATCTTCAATCAACAGATACAGACGTTTCCATCTGTCTTTTGTTGGATGACTCACTGCCTTATTCCTCCTCCCAATTTATGGTTCTGCTGATTGCTCTGAGAGTTCAAACTCTTCTATGTCATTAAGATCTAACTAAGCTCTCTGCATACCAGATACAGTCATGCTGCTCAACAATTATAACAGGTGAAGTGGTTCAAAGAAACATGTCAAAATGTCTCATTTTCCCATTACAACTATTTCTTGAGTTTAACTTAACCTTTTCCATATTCCTGTTTCTGTTTTCCCCTAGTTATAAATGACTTGAGTATCACTTGCTTTTTACTTCATATTTTTCTGTCTTTTTTTTAATGGCAAAAAAATCCCTTGCCCATGACAACCTTCTACCTGAACCACAGGAAATGTTTAGAGTGCAATTGCTCATAAATCTTTTGGGTTTCTGATTTTGCTAAAAACACGTATCTCAGCCCAGGTTCACAAAAATCTTTGCTGAATGCTAAGTAAGCCTGACAAGATTTCCAGTTCTGCACTGAAAGCAATAAGACATATACAACATGATGCACAGTGAAAATCATTCCTTTCAACTGAGTTTTGCTTTGAAGTCCATGAATAGATTGAATACCAAGCTCATGGCAAAAGCCAAAGGATGTGCATGGGAGCCTGAAGATTGAAGGTGGTGACTCAAACCCATCAGATAATAGGGTCTCTTTGCTCTGCAGATAATAAATATCACAGCATCTGCTAATCTAAATCACTGAAGTATGCCTAAAAAGTACTTTCTAATATGTTTATGGAGGCCCTGTGTTATATTTCTACCTGGAAGATCTTCTGCTCATTTAACTCACATCATGCATTGACAAGGGCTGGTCTCCGTTCATCTCCTGGAGGTGCCATATTATAAATTCAGGCGAGTGTATTTTAGAGCTAAACGACTTCCTTTGTTCATCATCCAGGTATATTGACTATCTATCAGAGTGAAACAGTTAAGTTATTCTCCTTTCCCACTTTCTTTCACAGCACGTCAGCTGAAAGTGACACTAAACTACTGAACTTTATGTTTGTTTTGAAACTGCCTTTTAATCCACTTAAGCATCTCATCCAGATTTTGAAGCACAAACAAGCAGAAGAGCTGGATTCCAAAATGATTAATTACAATGGAAATCAGTCCCAGCCTAATTATTTACTGAATGCTTAATCCCTGTTAAAAGTTTTTACTGACTATAAAAGCCAGCTCCATGGAAAAATATATAGTATTTTTACTATCATTATCCTGCTTTGGTTTGGTTTTTTTCCTGCAGCAAGTGTTTCCTTGGGAAAAAGGTACCTGGTAAAAAGCAGAAATAAGACTTTGCTGTGTGTGCATGAAGACAGTGTTGCTAACAGAGGAAGTATTTTAGCATGGGATAAACCATGGAAATATGCAAACATACAGGAGGTTTATCTGATATGCACAAGCCAACTAGGGCAGTCAGCAGAACACCAGAACCGTGTGGGGAAGCAGGTAGCAGCGGAGGGTGATGCCACAAAGAGGTATGGCACAGTGTGTGACGGAAAGTAAGACAGACAATCCAGTGTCAGCTCATTTTCTTGGCTTAAGAGTCTGGCTCATCTAACCAGAGAGTCCACTTTGCTTTTGCTCTTGCCACATGCAGAAGTCCCTTTCTTAGCATGTTGGGGAAAGTGAATATGCTTTCAGCACATGCTAGTTTATAGCAATCACTGCTTATACCGAATGTTTTTGATCACCCACTATGTTAGAACAATTCCACAAAACCCGAAAATCTGTGTGATTTTTCACTCACTGTTGTTGTCTCCTCTTTGTCCTAACTTCCCAGAAATGCTAAAAAGATGGATGGAAAGGTAGTCAAAAAGCCACATATGGTGAATGACATTAAACACTAAAATCTTATGTTCTTTGGGTACTTATCCTTCTCACAGTAATCACAGTAGTCTCTGCACATAAGGAAAAAAAGAACTAGAAAGGTCATCACCTCTTAAACATTGTATTTAATAAAGCAAAAATCAAATTGCTCGAACTTGGGCACTGCAGCTCAGCCCTGCGGCCACACTACACTGTTTAAAGACCACCTTATAAATGTGCTACCTTTTCTTCCCAGTGGAAGTTAAGCTCCTCTATAGCCACTTTGCAGTCAAGCAGCAGTAGACATTTTGTTTTCAGGGCTGTGGAAGGATGGTACACAGCACAAGAGAGAAAGATTTTAAGAGGTGAAATCTCTCAAGATACTTTTTGCTTTATGAATAAATTCAGCTACAGGTACAACTATTAATCTTCATGCCAGTTCACTACCTTCACAGTCTCCCTTTGAGGTCTTGATCTGACTTCTCTAGTTATGATTAAGTACTGTCATCAGAGGTTCGCTAAAGCACCATAAAACATTCTTCTTCTCTTACTGCTAGGGACATTTCACCTTCTGTAGAAGACAGAGTCATCCACTGCATACATTGTTTACAATAGTAAGAGGAATATGCGCCAATCATTAAGCATACATAGCACACAAGCTACTATGAAGTACCAATGCATGTCTGCATACTAAAGGCCTGGTTCCTACACTGATATACACAAATATTTGCACATTTGCTTATTTTGAGAAATTTAATAGCCATATACTCACATGACTTCCTATTTGCTCGTGACCGCTTCCTCTCTCTAGGCACCGCTCGCTGGCTTGGCACTTGGGTGGCAGACTTCACAATGCGATCCATGATCTCATCTGCTGCGTCATCCGTTGCATTAGGTGAATCGTCGTTGCCAGCATTCCACGAACTGATACGGCCTGAAAAAGTCCAGCAAATGAATTGAGGGAAAAGAAGAAAGCAGTCTTTTGCGTCACTTTGGTTTTGCAATTGGGTTTTTTTGGGGAATTACAACCGACAGCTCAGTCATCGCTACTTCAAATTAGCCGAAGTAGAAGACTGCCTAATGGAGAATATTTCTAAATAATACCCTAGACTCTCTGCTGTATCAGCAGAGACCCAAGAGCTCAAATGCAATTATAACTTTCTATTCCCTTCAGCATCAGAGTCTTATCCTTGACCATACAACTGGCAAATGTCTGCTAGAGACTGTCTCTAAGCCAAGGATCGCTGGAGTGTTGTGTGACCATGTTTCCCTCTGCTCCTATTACACAGAGACTAGAAGACATGGCACATGTTAGAAATTGATGCGAATCAGCAAGATAGATCCTTTGTACCAAAAGAGGGAACGAACCCACTTCTAAGCATCTGTAGCCTAGTGCAAAGAAGACATGAAAATGGCAAAAAATGTGGTTTGAGATATCTACTTGTCCTTTTCACAATGAAGAATTCACCTTCTCATCACAGAGCTGTATGTGTCCTGGCACAACTGCGTGTGCTCTGTTATGAGCAGAAAAGCAAGAGTCGTTGGCAAGCTGAAAAGCTAAATAAGCAATTTTGGTTAAAACCACAAACAAACAAGTGAGCCATGTCTCCAAACCCAAGCCTCTGGCACTCCTTACTCCACAGAGCTGTGTCAGACACATCTTTGGGTTCCTCCACTACAGACTACTGTTCCGTGTGCTTTTGTTTTTGAATAATTTGAACTCTAGTATGCAGCGAGAACACCAACAGCAAGTTTTGCAAAAGAGTGGGTGTGGTAGAATTGGAAGCAGCTAAAAATTCACTGGTGAGGCCACTCTGTATCACGTCCCCAGTGTCAATAAACAACAGCTTTGATTAGCACTTTGCTCTGCTGCTTCTCTCCTGGCTCTCATCAAGAGCAGTTGTATTACGATAGTGCTTCTGACAAGCTTCTGTCTGGCTCGCCCATCCTCTGCCTCTGCTGTTCTTCAGGGAAACACAAGCTGACTCTCATTATCAGGACACACTGCTCATTAGCAGTCAATAGATTACTTCAGCTATTCAGCTTGTTGCAGTGCAGCTTGAATTATTTCATCTTTGTGCTTTAGCTAGTTGACTTGCTTCTTAAATTGGGGTAGTGAAACCTCTAAATTAGGCAGGATCATTGTTTCCAGCCTTAATAAACTACACACACAGAGACAGTGGTGGATGCTCTGGATGTGCTATCACTGGTATCAAAAAAGAATCAAGAAAGTGTAAGATATCCAGATATGAGGGAAAATAAATATCAGAACAGAAAACTGAAGACTTGAATTTTGGTGCATCACCTTTACTCCAAAACCATCTTCAGGTATCATGTGTATGGGAGGGGGTGAGGGGAAGACTAAAGAAAATAAGCTGGTGAACCAATGTCTATAAAATGATTTAGCATAAAGGAAGTGGTTTAGTGGCTGCTTAAATGAAGAGGTATACCAGTGAATCATGTCTTGGACAAAAAACAAGGCTATCTCATTGCCAAGAATGGTTGTATCAGTGAGCTCTTCTGTCAGAGTATCAGGTGTTGGAATCGGCAGATTGGGTCAGGTTTTCATTTCCTCTCTGTCAGCTTTCAGAAATCACCTGTGCTGACATTTGGGAAAGGCAGAATGCCGTGGACCTCAGAGAAAGAGGTATCTGTAAGGACAGCATGGAGATGCAGGGCTGTCCACAGCAGCTTTGTATGCTCCTAGGCTCCACTTAATCCACTAGCTTTGCGGTTTAGCAGGGAGATGGTTAAAAGATTCATCATCTTTTTTCCCTACCCTTTTTCCTCTCCCCAGTCATTCCTAAAATGCTACAAGGCCCTTTCACTTCAATTTGAAATGCTACTTCCTGCTTGCTTCTGTTGAAAGTAAAAGGAAAACCACATCACGGATCCCCCATTTTGCCTTCATGATGAGAACAGGAATAAAAATTGGGGTGTTAGTGGGCAGCCACGTTCACAGGGGTTGGGGGAGAGGTGCAAATTTCTGCAGGCTTGTACTCCTAAAGCCCCCAGGCACTACTTTGGCTGTGATCCATGTGTTAAAACTTCAGTCAAACTCTTCTACAACCCTGTGCCCCAAATCACCACCTCCAGTGTAGAAACACCACTGGGGTCTTCTCCTTCCCCTTCAACCTTTTCTGCCACAAGTGCTACGCAAGGGGGCAACGACCTGTGTTTGGGCCACCGTGCGGCTACTGCGTCGCCAAAAACGTGGCCAAAAGGAAACTGCTAGCGCTTACCTCGGCTGGCCCGGCTTCGAGTGCGGACCCCGAGCGCTGTGGTACTTTCCCCACCGATGGAGGAGGTCTTCAGCACAGCCTTCATGTTCTCGTGCTCTGCAGCGTCCTCAGCGTACTGTAGCCCCTGGGGCTGGCTCTGGCAGGGGGGCGAGCTGCTGGAAAACTTGCCAGACTGTGGGAGGAAAACGGAGTTGTTGTTTTAACAGAAAACAGCACGGAGAATGGGCCAGTCTTGACCGCGAATTGCAAGGAGAGAAGTGTCCTCTCAGGCTGGTTTGGAGTGCAGATATTCCCAAAAGAGCCAGGCAGCAGTTGCTCCTCTCCCAGAGCATGCACCCTGAGCAGAAATCAACTGGAAACAGGGCGACAGCAGGGAGCAGCCAACAAAATCAGAGGAAAACCAGATGCATTAGCTCAAGCCTTATAATTTTGACCTTCTGTCTGAGAGTATAAGGTACAAAGCTTGCTTTGAAACCTTCGACCCAGGCTGGGCCCGATCTGGGGTCAGTTATGACACTGAGGTAGACAGCATGAGACCCAACAGAAATATGAAATTGCTTTTTCCTGTACCATCACCCTTCAGTAACAAGGCAAAACTGGGAGAGTACTCTAGGAAGAGAGACCTTTCCCTCTTGCCTCTCTGCACTGCTGCACAGAAAACTCGCAAACTGGTCTAAAACACATATGCCTACAAGTAACCTTAAAACACATTACCAGAAACGCTGAAAAAATCCCCGGTCCCAAAACACCCAGCCAAATTATTTCATGGCCAAAACACAAAAATTGCAGTCAGCAGTTAGAAGAACAAACAAAACCTTAGAAGAGATTTAGGAATCTGCCCTCTGCTTCGCTGGCCCCCCTGTGATTTCCCTGTCACCACGACTACGTTAACAACAGCAGCTACATTAGCTGGGCTTGCATAGCCTGTGGATGCAGCAGCTCCACCGGTTACTGAAAACAGCCATCTAGAAACGGATGAAAACAGCAGAAACAGATATTTTCTACGGTGAAGAGCTTGCATCGCTGGGCTGCTCTCCCTTCCCAGCCTCTGCCTACAAAGGGCTGTGGCGTTGGTATTCAAATCACTGCTCGTACCTACAGAAAGGCTAAAGCACGTTTAAAATACAGTCCTGGCTGCAGAAAGGACAGGCTCTGTCAACAGCAAACAGGCATCAACAGATAATACCCCTCGGTGTTTTCAGTCATATCAGTCCAGCAATCAGAAACTGAAATACACGTTCTTTTTCCTTTTAATCTTTCTTACTCCTACCAATTCAGCACAGATGAAAGAAGGTGTGCTGCATTCTCTTCTTCCTTTGCATAATAAACAACATTAATTATTCACTTGAACAGTATCGAGCCAGTCAGTTAAGGGATGCAAACCTGCGGAGCCTTTCTGTCAGAGAACAGTAAATTGGAAGAAGAGATGGGGCCCTACTTTCAGAGCTTTGATCAAATCCCCGGGGCTGTCAAGACTGCGAACTGAAAATATTTAATCTGGAAATCAATGACAGGATGACTCTATTTTAACATAATGACTTTTCAGGGTAGGCTAGCAAGTTAACTGAGTAGCAAAACAATAATCCCTACAAGGCACTCAGCTAAATATACCAGTGTGAGATTTATTTTTGATAGTGAGAAGTTTGTTTTCTTGTTAAAGTATTAGCTTGCAACATTTTGATGTGGAAGGTGTGCAAGTGCTAGAGTATCACATGTGAAATTAAAAGACAGAAAAACATTAGAGAGAAACTTCTATGAAAGTGCATGCCATTTTTGCACTAAGAATACTCTTGTATGTACAATGGGTTGTAAAGCTGATCAATACCATCTCGGAAAAAACCCAAAGGATAAAGTCTTCACATGACTGTTAGTTATATTCACACAGGTTAGTTAAATGTTGGCATAAAAAGGCTAACTGGTGTAATTTGCTTTCTGCGCCCCAGCACTGATCATCACTGAGGGAGAAGCTCTATAGCCAGAAGTTTTATTTTACTTCTTTAATTTGCAGATGTTGCCGTAGATTAATGCCCAAATCCCAGGCTCTTGAGCAAATGACTGCCATTATGAAACAGTGAGCATTAAGCCATATTGTTTATATTCAGCAAATTGAAGAAAGCTTTAATGCTGGACAAAAAATGCATTCACAATAGATGCTCCTCAAACCAATAAATTGTTTTCTTAGGAATATAGCTAGCGCATTACAGTTCTTAAATTATTTACTCTTTCCTTTATTCATTTTCAACATCACCTTCAGGAGCACTTTATAATAAATACATGCACTACTTCATGGCTTACTTCTGTGGTGACTGAATTATCTTATTTGCAATTCGTACAGCAAGGAAAACCATGACAATTTGCTTTGTATCCCTATATTCTGATGCTTTTGAACACTTTAGAAAATAATACTGTTTGGACTTACACAGCTTAATAATGAGTATGAAATTATCATGGTAATCCATAGCCCAAGGTTACTGAGGATCCCCATAACATTCAGATCACTGATGTTTTGGGTAGTGGGGATATTTTGCACTTTAGTAAATGGATATTAAGGAAAAGAAATGAGGAAACTTAAAATTATTAAGCCCTCAGATCAGGATATCCTTATTCAAGAGAGCAGGTATGCACATGGTTAAAGCTGACTGTAAAAATGCATTCTTATGATTGAGCCAAAAAGCTATGAGAAAAATGTCATGGTTCATATCTCCAGTTGAGCGGATGGAGTTGAGCAGTCCATACTATCTGAGTTAGAAATTAGATGTCACAGCACACAGGGGACATGGGAATGACATGCTCTTTCAGAGAACCATACCTCAGCATCCTCTTCTTCATCGGTCTGCCACCGGAAACAAAGGACAGGGTGGAGAAGGACAAACAGCAAGATTTAGGAAGGACAGTACGGTCAAACCACGACAGAGTAAGAGGTAACCATGGTACTGTTTATGCAATTATAGGAGGATATAAAAATACAAAGCGTATAAAGAGTTCATTCCTTAGACAACCAGCATCCTTAATTTTTTTGAGTTAATTGTACATAGAACAGACTGCCACTGTCAGTAGGGTATATAAAAATTTCCTGATTTTTCTTAGAGAAATTATGAACTGAATCTACCCTTAACCCATCCTATTTCTCTCCCTTGAGTCGTGCAGTTGCTTGCCCATTTTTTGCCCTGTGGAAATTGAAAGTGCTAGGAAGGACTCCCTCTCCTTTTTCCTGCTCCGTTCGGCACAGGGAGGTCCTGGCTTCTCTTTCTCCCAGTGCTCCCAGAGGTCAGCTTCTTGGCAATTCCTTTTCTCTACACTTAAAGTGCTTGTTTTAATTCCTTTTTTAAGCTGGGGCTTTTCAACTTCAAATTTAACAGAGCACTCAAATCAAATGCTGAGCAGTCTTTGAATAAATGCTTTAAGTTCTTCAGTAGCTGCCTGATATCAGATCCTGGAAATTAGAGAGATGCAGTTATCCTTTGCTATTCAGGGCTTTCACCTTCTGTGACAGCAGGCATGTAAAACTATCTTGACAGTTACACACTACATTAAATGCAATGGGCATGTCAAAATATTGTGCATATGGAGTGTTCTTAAATTTGGGGCTTTAAAGAGAATTAGCAAACTATTTAGAGCTGTGTTCCCAAATGCCTGGGGAATTCTTCATCGAGTTGTCAGATGCCTGACATGGAAGGTTCCCAAAGTAACACACAGTTTCTCAAGTATCTGGGCTCCTTGTTTCCATAATTTTCAGTTTCACTGCTTAAAAAGTGCAAACATAGCCCAGAAATCCGATGCATTTTTTTTATTTGTGGGTTTGGTTTTGTTTTTTAGAAGAAGCATTCCACCAATTCTATTCCCTTCCCTAGTCTTACTAATACATATTTTTGACCTTATCTCCATCTCAGCTATGATTTCTGTCTGGGATTGATACATTCTGTTCCAGAAACATTCATCATTAAAAACGAAAGCCTCATTTACTTTGGCCCTCAGCTTAGTTTCAGCACAATCTCCATAAGAAGATTAGCTGCGAGAGTGCCGAGCAGCACACTAACATTACTTTTTAAGGGTATGTTTTATTCAGAGAGTGAGATGCTTATTTGTCTTTGGACACAGTGGCACTGACAGAAACACATGCAGATGTTTTGCAGAGGGACTTCAGCAGGTATGTTCCCTTTATATTAAAAAGATCCATTTGTTTTTTTCCATCACCAGGGGGGCATGGAGTCACTGTAAAGCAATTCTTCTGAAGGTGGCCACTGTTCACTTTTTGGCACGAATAAGAAACAGGAAAGAGAAGAATGGGAAGCAAGACCGTACTTGTATTCTCATCCATATGTACATCTATCAAATAAAAGGCAGGAGGAGAGCAAATTAAGCTAAACACTATGCAGAAGGCACTCAGGGAAAGGTGGAATAGCAGAGTATACACATTACAAAGAGTGTGCTCCAAACAGAAGTGTATTATATTATTACTTTATATCAAGCTAGATTTTTACAGGGAACGTCCCAGCTGCTGACCTTCCTGCCCATTTAATCTAGCTAGAAGTGATTTGCTGTGGACTTAAATTAAGGGCAATGGACTCTTCTCTGTTTCACTTTGCTCATCTCCGGTACCCAGGGTGTTACCATTTCCCTTCCTCCTGCTCTGGGTGGAGAGGGCTCACACCTGGAACTGCTGTCCTTCTACACCCAAAGCTACTCCAGTGCACAGCAGGAGCAGTTCACCATCCCCATCATGTTTCCATGTCTGGAGAGCCATTTGCTCCAGCAAATACTGGCAACAGGAGTCAAAGTAGCAAAATAAATCAATCCAACTTTTGTTTCACAAGGGAATCTGCTCTTACCCAGAATGTGTACATTCTGCCTTTTATTTCCTTCTTCATCATTATAAATACACTGAGAAATATTAATAAATTAGGACATTTTTCACATGTAATATTACCAAAAAGCACTGAAAGACTATTGCTATACTGAATACATCCTGCAAGCACAAGATGCTAATTTTAAGAAAAAAAGGCTGCTTGATTCTTCTGTCATCCAATATTGGATGTTGCAGGACAATCTCAGATCCCCCTCCTTCCTTTCCTCCCTCCCACCCTCCCTCCCTCCCATTTTTCCTTTAGGCCTGCATTTCTGTGTAGTGGATTTGCCATTTCAAAATATTATTTCTATTACATAGCAATTTTGGAATTGAAACTCTTTAAGTATCGTAAAAAGCAGAGCTTCATAAATCTGGGAGATGGATGCTTGTATTACCTACTATTATTAAAAATCATTAAAAAGCTCAGCCTTGTATCTACAATTGCATTTCTTCCCTATTTTGCTTCCTTGTTATTTTTAGTGTGCCTGAAATGAGTGCTATCATTGGCTAAAGCCAGATACAAGGTTACAGAGACTAGGCAATTTTCCCTGTGAAACTGTGGCAACTCACTGTTCTCCTTTTTCTTTCCTTACTGGCCCCCTCCATCTCTCTCTTGCAGACAACATTCACCAAGATTTAAACTGACAGTGCCCAGTCCACTTCAGCTATTAAAGAACATATAAACATAATGATCTCTGTGGTAAAAGGCCGAAAGAAAGGCTGGAAATATTCCCTATCGTGTTTCTCAGCCCTGCTCCATGTGAGCAGTTGCTGAAGCTGATGCAAGCTCTCCACGCAAAGAGCCAGCACCCCTCTGCCTTCCAAGTCTGCAGGGGGGACTAAGGTTTAAGAGATACGTGCCTTCTCGTTAAGAACTGGGATGGTTCTGGCTTATTCCTTTCCCATTTTTGCTGAAATCCCTCTTCTTCTGCCTAAAAGCAATGTACTGTAAGGTGATAAAAATGAGATCCTGAGGAAACTTTCAAAAGGACAGGGAGGTAAATATCAAATAACTGCACAATCCTTCCAGGTTATCAAAAGCAGAAATTAAAATTCCACATGACTACTTCTTATAAGAATTACTTTCTACAGAGAGTTTCCTTCCAATGTCAAGATCTAAACTTTGTTCTGTCAGTGTTTTGTAACAAGTTGAACATACTGTCAGTGCGTTACTGATACATCTTCCCTTTCCAATGCCTTCAAATATAAAACGCTAAGAAAATCAAGACCAGACACAAACCACAGCCACCACAAGACTACAATAAAACTCCCCTTTTTCATCATTCTTCACACATATATTCCATCCTTCTGACTTGGAAACTTGTTTTGAGGTAGATCTGACTTTGAAGTTGTCAAAGGAAGCTCTGACAAATAGTCTGACGCAACTTTAATTCTGTTTTACCATGTACTGCAATCAAATGAAGTGTAAACGAGGCCATGGGCTACAGTTAAAGAGATTTAGTAAATTGTGAAATAACTATATGGCCACACGAATAACTCCCTTAAAGAACATCTCTATAAGGGTGATTTTAAAGAATGTGGGTTTTACTGTGCTTTTTAAGCTCATAGGACCATTATATAATTGTACATTAGTGATAGGCAAAACATGCTCCCTTTCTGGGGACCTGCAAGATATTTTTAGGTGGAACACTAGCTGTCAGGTGGCATTTAGTTCTTGTCAAATCTCAGCACTATCTTGAGCTGAACAAGTAACTCTTCCAGTAACAGGTTTTTCTGGGAAAGGCCTAGCCACCTCCTTTCTTACATTTTCAGAAAATGGCCATCGTCCCCGGCTCTGCTCCTCACCGACTAGCTGTCAACCCTGAGACTTTTTCTGGTTTGAAAGGGTCCCTTCTCTCTGCTTCCTGAACCCAGCTGCCAGTGATCAGGTTTCCTTTTCCCCTTGCGTTTCCTGCAGGAACAGGACGTAGAGAAGCTTTCTGTCCTGCCACAGCCAGTTCTTCTGAACAGATAATACAGAAACACTACAACCTACAGTAGGAAAAGAGTAACTCCTTCACATCTCAGTGTTGCTTAAACTAGTAAAAAGTATTGAAGCTACCTGAGGAAATGAACATTTTAATTGACTAACCTCTTTGGTTAATGCTATCTTCTAGGTCATCTAGAATACGTCAGGAAAACCAAGAAGCAATTGAAGAAAGTGATCTCAGTTCCCCAGTGGTAGTTTTCAAAATTTATATGACTACATTATACCCTTAGCATAAAATCAGAGCCTCGTCCTTAACCTGAGGCTAGACCAAAAGGAAAATCTTTTTGAGATAATAATACAGGTTTAACATTTTTGCTAGATGAGGCAGATTTCCAAATTTAAAGAGGATATTGCCAGGAAAGATCTACAAATGATCGTGAGTCAATGACTTAAATACAATCTCAATTTATATCAGTCTCAATACATATACATATTTTGACCCATGTTGCCTGAGCCATAAAACTGTAATCAGCTTAGGTCTTTTCATGCCAAAGGCAAGGATAGCTTCATATGCAACAAACCACTTGCATCTAATCGAGACTCCAGATTTGGATTTTGAGACAGCTGGAAACTTTTATTAAGTACTGGCACTTCTTAAAACTTTATTTGGATTGAGTCAAACTACATTAACTTAAAAAAAAAGATAAAAAAAATCAAGGGGACTTTAAAGCTTACTATGCTGATAAAACTAATCTTATTTCAATTTATTCTATCAGTATGCAATCATACAGTCAAAAAGTTTGCATGGTAACATCTACTGTGAACATAAATTTCTCTGTTCTTTCTGAACCCTGAAGTAGCCTGCTCCCATGACATTGGCTGTTCTGTACTTTAAAGGTAAGAAGAAAACTGCTGTGCATGTGCTTGCATATATATATATACACACACATAAAAATAGATAACATACTAAGATTAAAGACTATATTGGAATACTCAAAGATGGACGAAAAAAATCCATTTAAATTTGGCTGTAACCACTTAAATGGCTATAATCGTTCATCATTTAAATCACGTCCTCAATTAGGAGCCTTATTTCTAGTTTCTCTTCCTTTTTCATATTCTTGGCTGATCAGGTACACACAGCTCCTAGTGTCTTCTAGATATTTTGGGCACTGCCTGTGCAACACACAGAGATGCTCTTTTTAGATGCTTAATTTCAGTTTGTTCTCATTCTATAAATTGGTAAGAAGCAAAAATATACAATTAAGGACTTGCAAGTTTTGTCTTCTAAGAGAAGAGAGTTCATTACTTACAGTAGAAGAACCTCTTAAGAATAAAAATAAAGAGTAACAACACTTCATATACAACATTCAATGAAAGAAAGTTTTAAAAATCCATGCTGTGGGAGATACATTTTGCCACTTACATCTGTTATCATTTTCCCTCTGGTCTTGTTTCTTTCCCTGTGGTTGGCCCGTTTCTGTTTTTGCTGCAAAACTCGTTCCCTGGTGGTGCGGTATTCCAGAGCAAATTCGCTAATAATTTTGCAGAATTTATTGATGTTGACTTCACGTATTGCATAGGGAGGATGGCCCATAAATAACAAAAATGAGTGAAACCTGTAAAACAATGAGTTCATAAATGTAAAGGGGAAAAATCTTTATTGTGGGTTTCTGGGGGGAAAAAACCCACATTTCAGTGAATGCATTTATTACTCTATTAGCTTCCATCATTTCTTTTGTGCTACAGAATTTTCATGAATGTTTTGCTTAACACTGGCATGTTTTATAATTAAAACCATGAAAGTCTAGTCTATGATAACTTCATCCCAGTCCACTTTCCCAGGCTGATGCGGGAGATAAGATGTTTATGGAACTCCATCTACTTTATATGACTCATTTGGCATGTGAGTGACCAATTTCATTTCAGTTATAGAAAAAATATTTATTAAGTTTCAATTCTATTTATGTGTATTAAGCAACTTCAAAGAGGCTGTTAGGATGTTGGGGAAAGTCTAGACAAGAAGAATGCAGATTTACAGGCTAGCAAACACAAGAAGGAAAGAATTTCTGGTTCACAAAACTGATCATAAAATTATATTATCTACCAAGTACTTTAGTTTGGGATACTCTCAATTCAGTTTTACTGCTTCTGTGGCATTCAGAGCTTTTGCACTAGTTGCAACTTTTACTATTGCTTCTACATTGCACGATTTATAATAGCGTACTGAATGTTTACAAATGTATGGGAGTTCCTTTCAACTGCATCTACATCCCTGATGCTAAAAAGCCTTCCCAATAAACACTTCTCAAGTGTTTATCCACAAATTTGGGATCGTTTGGAATCCAGATCCTAACTTTGACCATAGCAATTTGGAAATGATTCAGAAATTGGAAACTCTCTCAAAATTTCATTAATAAGCAGGAACAGAGATAAATTTCTCAGATGACTTAAGCTACGTTTGTGAATCTGAAAAAAAAAAAGCTCAGGTGTACTGCACAATTATCACGAGTATGTACAATTCAAAGCACTGCAATTACTGTTAACTCTCCTAAGGAGAGGAATCTTAATTCTGTCTTCTGCTGTGTAGGCATAAAACACAGAGTTGTAGACTTTGAAAATAGAAGTGGTGCTGTCTGCAGAAGAACTCATTGTATGAGACTCAATTCAACTTCTGCATATGATGACTTTGTCATTAGAACTTCATTTTTTTTGCTACAGCCTGTTCTTGTTTATCAGACAGCAAGCCAACCCCCCTCGAAAGTATTCAGGGAAGGACAGAAAATACAGCAACTTAACCAGAAAGCTGCTAGCTTTTGGGGACTAGGAATTAAAAGACCCAGTTATTGCACATTGGGAATAAATGATTGCCTGAATCACTGCTGCTTTTCATCAGAAATACAGAAACTTTCTGGAGTGGGGATCTTTCTTAAATGGCGTCTATAACAAAGTATGCACCACATACGTCCTGATAACATTACTTGCTGGAATGTGAATTGAAACATTTATAAAAAATGTATTTAATATGTCATAATTCATATTTTTAGTAAGTCATTTATTATCAAGATATTGCTGTTACCAATCTAATTCTATACCTGTTAATTATTCTTCTGTGAACAATCTTCAGGATTATGATTCTTTCTGCACAGTCTTTAAGGAACTCGGACATTTTTTGCTTTAGAGTTGGCTTCATTTCATGCTTTGCTATAGCCTTAAGGTGATCCCATGATGCTTTGCACCGTCTTTCCATCTGAAACAAGTTTTCCTGGAGTTGTTCAAAGTCAACCTGAAAAAAAAGAAAAGAAAAGAAAATGTAACACTTTAAGCAAAAACACTGCAGTAGTAACCTTGCATATCTGAACAATGCAATCTATGTATAAGGGCAATGTAGTGGCAGCACAACATTAATTCTCATTATTAATTACTACTGAATAATTAAAAAATAGCTTTCTCTGTCACGCTTTGTCTAGACATGAAATGTTAGTAAGGAAAACTGAAAACAAAGAAATACCCACATGCATATATATTTGGTTTTAGTCTCGGAGGCCTAACACCTAAAGAAGGGACAATAAAATATTGTGATGTGTCTTTTCCCTTGCTAATAACTTCATGTCTACACAAAGCAACTGCATGACTCAAGTTATTTCTGAGGTAATACAAAATTTTCTAGTTTTCCTAATCCTTTTCTCTACTACTCATAGCTTTTTATACCCTGTTTACTGCTCACTGTTGTACCCAGCCAACACTTCTCCAATTTAGGAAGCACTTGGATCTATTCCCTAGCCATGCACTGACTTGTTAATAGCTGATCTACTTCTAATCACAAAATTCATGGGCCAGAATTTTTTAAAGCTCTATTGAAAGTAAGTGTTATTTGGTGATCTCAGCACTAACTTTCATCCTTTGATACACAGTACGAATTTGCTGGCTTGTAACAAGATCACATAATGGCTTTGAAAGTCTCTCAAGACAGTTAAAATAAATGACCGCATCCTACAGTAACATTCATCAGGACAGAAGCCAACACATTCCACAGAAGGTGAGAGAGAGCTTCTCCTTTATTCATCAACCAAAAAAGGTGTTCAAATCACAACGGTCTACAGAAGACATTCAGGATGCGTTGCTAACAACTGGACAAAGTGCATTAACGACCCAGCCACAGCACACAACAGATGAAAAAAGTAAAACTACCCAACATGTTCCTGAATTCTGAAGAAAGGAAAAATTTATTTTATAATACCACTTCACAGTTCAGATGAACTCAAGCTATAAAATACAGATTTAGCTCTCAGATTCTAAATGCGTCAGTGTTTGGGATGTTATGGTCTGCTACTCCAGTTAATTCCTTAATGCTAAATGAAAACCAGTGTCAGAGACAGGTTTTAGTTCACTCTTTTTAGCTGTGTGCAGCACCCACCGCTGAGACGTATACTGAGGACAGCCATAAGAAATGCATTATTATTAAAAAGATCCTGGTATTGATTTGATTTGGTTTTGCTGTGATTTATGAAGTGATGAATTTTTCCTCTTCACAAGGAAATAAAAACATCCTTTGATCCATTCCGCTGTTCAGAAAAGCCCTGCAGGCGGAGCAGCTGTGGGGTTTTTGTTTCCCTTATATCCATATCAATGCATATGTTTTTTTTAAAAAAAAAAGTCCTTTCCAGGTCAGTATTTTCACTGTTGATGATAAACACATTGCTGTTCTCCATAGATGGTATATGTAAAACACACGTGGAAAAAATACTACCATTCCTATTAAGAAGAAAAAGCCCGAAGGAGGTATTTCTAGGTCTTACTAGTAAGAATTATCCAACCTGGTTGGGGAAGTCTCTCAGCCCCTGAAGCAGAAAAATTTAATTTTATGACATTTTATGACAGCTTTCTGAAACCAGAATGAGTTTTACTCAAGGCTCTGAGGTTCAAGCCCATAGGGATCCAAGAGATATCTCTGGAGAACTGCATATCTGCAGGGAAAAGATGTGGCAAACTCCCTGCCACATGAAATCTGCTAACAGCCGGTGCATTCACAAGAGTGGGCAGTTTCAGCGGGGACTGGGGATGGCAGGTCTGGCTAAGGGATGCACAGGAATCTTTGAGCACAATCAAAAATTCAGATCTCTGAGGAAATCCTAAAGACACCACAGCAAGGAAAATACTACCTGAGCTCCCCTGGAATAAATCTCTGTGGAGCACAGGTGGCTCTGCTTGAGCAGAAGTTGTAAACTCCTGGAAGGAGTAAAGCAGGAAATCCAATATAGGGAAATGTGTCAGTGAATTCCCCACATGTAAACTGTCCTGTGCCCACAAGAATGTGACAAACCTTCACGAAATCAAATCTTCTAGCTGCCAGCTCTTCAGAGTTTGGTCACTTGTTTGGGGACAGAAAGGAATACACTCACAGAAAACTATCCATGTGTGAAATATTGAAAGTCAAAATTTTTCCGAGACAACCACGTACCCCACCTGATATTTCATTAAGTACTATTTCACTAGTGCAAATTTTGCAAGCAGGCACAGAATCTATTGCATTTCAGTCTGCTGTAGGTCTTACATGCAAGGAATTAAGTGAAGCTTCTTCACACGCGATATACCATACAACATCCCTTTCCTCTATCCAAGGTGTAGAAACCATCTCCCAACAGAGCACAAGAAAATAAAGCGAAGTCTTCAGATCTTTCTAAAAAAACCCAAGCCACCAAACAAAAAGACTAGCATTTATCAGCCCACTGACAAGATTTTTCCTATTAGATCTCACAGAAGTGTGATTTAAATGTTCAGGCTGGATCAGCTCAAAGGGAAAATTCTGAAGTTAAAAATATTTGGCCTTTTGCAGCTTTAGAGTACTACCTGCATGACATTTCAAAGCACAGCAAACAAGCTTCTCCCGCCCCGCCTTTTTTTCCTAACAGCAATAGCACTAATGTGATGCTCTCCAGTGGGAAACAGTGTCATGTGGCAAGCATGGTCACTCTCACTCCATCTCCTCTCTCCTTAATTTACACACCTTGCCCTCATGTTTCCTCTGCTATCTCCTTTTTTCCTTCAGTGCTCATGTTCAGATAAGAAATTAGCCATAGACCTTCTAGCACAGTAAAGCTAAAGATCCACCGACCACTGATCTTCTAACTGGACTCTCGTGCAATTGCAGAGACTTGTACGCAGGATCCAGGTGATGCTTTTTTCTAGGCTAGTGGAAAATAATATCCCGGTTGCATGCCAGCAATGAGTGTGTCTTAAGCGTTCTCTATCAACCCTCACAAAGACTGGCTTTCCATGGCTATCTGAAAGAGCAGTATGTATTATTAACTGATAAAATACACCAAAATCCTGCTGAGGTAATATGCTCTTATTCTGCAAACTGTTACATTTTCTAAGCCTTTTAATGTGTTGAAATATTAACCAAGACAGACAGCTACTAATTCCCTTAATTAGGAGCACCAGATTCCACTGAAAAGCAGGATCCTGACGAATTTGACATCCTCAGATCCTCTTCTCTCTTCACTGTGAAGGCAAATGCGTCATGGACATGAAGGGGCTTTTATCATGTTCTAAGCAGCAGAAATCCAATGACTATGTGGCCAAGAAGCCTCTCCATTTTATACACATTTGTGTCATAAAACAGCAGGTACTTGCATCAGTGGAGAATGGAAGTAAAATACAAATCCACCCGAAAAGCAACAATTTAGCCTCACTTTAACTGAGGTAACTGACCATGAAAGATGAGCAAATGTTTTTAAAAGCAGGACATTGTTTAGCAATATCCTTGTAATTTCCTTTTTTTATTTTTTGCTACTATTGTTGTTCCGTTTAGGACGTCCTCTAACACTAAAGTGTTATATACAAATCTAACAGTAACAATGGTGAGAAATGATCCCCCAACTACATGTCCCTGTGATAAGGAGAACAAGAACTTGTGTGGAGTAATAATGACAATTATTCAATCTAATATGCATAACAAAACCATGAAAAGGCATATATAATACCATACCACATCCCTGCCAGTCCACACGGCACTCCCAAGGGAAGAAGGATTGCAGGATTGCAACCTTTTCATTTATGTGTTTATTTCCAACACTTACTAAAAGAATTAATGCTGCATAATGGTAGAATGACGTGACTGCTTTCTTTTTTTCATTCCTTCTTTCCTGAAAGGAAAGATGCACCAATTCTTGCCCGCAGCTGGAAGGCCATGCTGTGACTAAGGAGGAATTCAGGTGAGTTTCACATCACATTGTGGCTCCAGGAAACCTCAGCATAGGAGGTGCTCAGACAAGAACCACTGTGGTGTTATTTTAAAACTATGCTCCACTGAATAAAAGGAAGCAGTAATCTGAAATGGTCATTACAGCTTTCTCGCTGGACAGCTGTTGTGCCCAGCCCCAGGTTTTGGAGGAAGGTGGTAACATACATTCTTCTTCTTCCTCCTCAACTCAGTTCATGCATGTGCAAAAGACGTGCAGCTTGCTGGTCCTGCTTACTGTTACCTTCTGCTACAATTTAAAAAATAAATCTCTTCTTTTACCTCAGGCAAAAGAATGAGTGGTCTTAGGCTGTTATGCAAAATAAAAATGACTTTTCTTTTAGACACTGTGTAACGTTTATTTGCATTTGTAAACTGATTTAGAAAAAGCAACTTTCTAAATGCTCCTGGGATATATTTGATATGTTCCTCCTTTCTCCTGCCAGGTTCCTCTCCATTCACAACCACACTAGCTGAAAAATATTCAGAACTATTTGTCATTTATCTGTGAAATCTCTTGCTGGGCCCACTGTTCAGTCCTCTGAGAAGTGCCTTTGTAGACACTGTTGCATCAGAGTGCAGTAGCCAGAGACAGTCTATCCAAATAGGATTTAAAAACTTGTTTATGTGACACAAAGCCTGAAGGGTCAGCCTCACTCAGGAAACCATTGCCATAAGTCACTAATGGGCAACTTTAAAAAAACAAAAATTCTATTTTTCAATTTAATGTACCACCATATTTTGCACAAATGACACTCAGACCAAGAATAAAACCCTCCAACCACATGCCAGCAACACCAGCACTCTTTTTAATCCTTTTTATATCATCATTGCTTGCTACCCTAGTAACAGATGACTCCACAATGAACAACAACAGAAAAAAGAATTCTACTAGTTTCTCACTTCATTGGGCTGAGACTTCAATATCACATGATACACCTACAGCCCAATGACTTCTGTTCATGCTGTTTTTCACCTGACTCAAAAACTACCACCACCATCAAGTGGTTCAGCATTTACTTCCTGCCCATCCATGTTCCATG